TCCCACAATCTTTTGTGAGGGAGGAAGGGTAGGTGAAGCTCACCTTATGTAATTTAACAATTTTTTTTTAACATGTGCTGTATGTGACATGCAACTATATAAACAGTCATGTGTTTTATGGAGAGCTTCAGCCGTCTGCTACTGTTGTGTAACAACTTTTGGTGTAATTGTTTTTTTCAGAAGGCTGTAGTCCAAATTTGACAAGCATCCTTGTGCTTTTCTGTTGTGTAATGACAGCCATCATGCTAAAGGCAAGCAGATTTACCACAGCAGACTGGAGTTCTTTTCCTACCCACATTAGTGTTCTTACAGCTGACCCCACAGAAGTTAAAGGATTAAGAGCTAGGAGCAGGAGCTAAAAGCTACAACCTTCTGCATTCGGATTGGAGGAGGTTCTCGATTATTTGACTGATCGATTGTTTGAAAAGGGGCAGAACACTGGACTTTGGAATAGCATTACTTATTTAAAATATTCAAAATACTTATTCTAGCAATACATTAGTTTTTAAAGATATATATTTTAGTTTGTTTTTTTTGCTGTGAACCATAATCATAATTTACAGAATAAAAGGTTGAAATTAATCACTGTTTGAAGTAGCGCAATAACATGTCACTGACACTGCATTCCTATTCATCAGGACATGTCTCAATGAGCAAAAATTGGTTGAAAAGACATTGAAAAACACATGATTTATGTCCAAACGACATCTACATAAGGTTAATAAAGGTGAAAATCTGTAAGATCATCGAAAAGGCATTGAAAACTAGGTTATTACTGTAAGTCTTTTATTGGACTAAAGTGGGACAAAATAAGACTGACTAAACACAGCCATATTTTGAACAAGTATTCCTGAACTAAAACAAGACTATGACGGCACGACCAGATTTAACCTAAAAACCGACGTCTAAATGAGGTCTAGTGTTTGGGGGGGTAGCCCACACTACCAAGCAAATATATCACAATTTGTGTCCCAAACATTCACTTTTCACAAACCTATAAATACACTTCTTTTGTTTAAAATTGTGGATGTTTTTAAAATGTTTATGTATATGTATGAATGTTATGGTGATAGTGTCCTATAAAAACATTTAGAATGACTAACACAAATGAAAAGAGGCTTACATATTACAGCTCTTTAGAAACAAGGAATAAAATGTAGGGGTTCAAATCTAGATTAGAAACAATTGACATATATACTAATGCATTATTGTATTTATGTGTCATACATTTACTAATTTTGTCAAAGATGTCTAAGACAACAATAGAGGCAAAAATGCTGTAAAAAAAAATGTTGTGCTTGCCAATAGGAAGAGGCTTCAATGCCCAACTTAAAGATCAATGGATGATCACAGCATCCTTTTTAGCATAAAGATAAATCATAAAGAAGATTTCTCACTGGGGGGTAAGCACATGGTCCTGCATGTCCTCTGTTCAATAACAGACTTCAAAAGAAAATGGAGAGGACCTGAAACAAGGATCCAAACCCTTCAAAAGGCTTATGATAAGAGACAGCTTAGAGGAATATCAAACCAGGCAAATATTAAGAACAAACAAACAATTATCTTAGACAATCCAGTTATTTATGTTCAGTATTCTTGAATTTGCTCGAAACCAGAATAGCAAGAAAAAATGAAACCAGAGGAGTGGAAAGGCTCATTTTTTCTGATGGATCAGAATTAAAATACAGTTTAAGAAAAGAGAGATAACAAAATAAATATCTCCATGGTGATACCTAAACTTTGCAATGTTGTTGTCGATTGGGAAATATGTTTATGTTCATTTTTCAAGAAATGTAATTTAAATTACAGCAAATTGCTGAAATATCCCAAAATATGTGTTTAATTATCTAGGACCAAAATATATCCCAAACCTCATTAAAAACATCAACAAAAAAGATTTTAATATTACTATAATTATGTATAGAATAATGAGGTAAACTTGATTTGAAGTGCATTGAAAGCAGGATATAGTACATTACATAAATGATTTAGCACAGTATATAAAGTAAAAAGTAAAGCACACTTTGACAAAGATGAACATGCATAGACACACACTGACATTAACCTGGGGGGTAGTTCATGCTTTAATTGCTGACACCATAGCTCTGGGCTCTCTGAACCAAATAGGTTTTCTTGCTGGATACATAATCCATTATCATAAATCAGATGCGCCAACATAGACAGGTGCTGCATGAATAATTAAAGGTCGGTACATTAGCACTTGTGTAGATGCGCGGTTTGAGCCAACGTCACTGAACAGACTAAAAGCCCCACAGAATCTCTCCCTCTGCATTAAACAGCTCAGTGTTCTGCTTCTCAAACAGAAACAATCTACAAGTTTGGAGAGGAGACTGGCCTGACCATCCCCCCACTTCCTCTGAGTGTAACCAAAACAGAAAGGTCTGCAGGAAGAAACGATGGGGTAGACAGCGCTCCGAGCACTGTTTGTCCTCCTCTTCTGCCGTCTACTCTTATCTCTCCAGGGTTAGCTGGTCACCTTCTTTGAACCTATTGCAAGGTAGATGGGTTACTCTGACTCAGTAATGGAGCCCTTCCAGCTGTAGGCAGAGCGAGTGAAAGGTCCGCTTAACTATGAAGACTTTAGTCTGCTGATTTTCTGAAGAACATTAATTACACTGCAGGCAAACTCACTTCAAATTCCAGCTAGTGAAAGATAAGGCTGTGCTGTCGAACTGAAGGATGCTCACGATTCGGCTCATTTTAGGATCTGTAAAGATTCTTTTATCATTGAAGTTTTGCGGAGAAGTGGGAAAAAGTTCCTCAAAGGCAAAGGCACATCTTTTGAGGGGAGGCTGTGTGAAGTTACAACAGGTCCTCGATAGAGAGTCCCTCCCCCTCTGTAAGAGACAGCAAAGGCATTGGAGCAATAAAATATAAATACAATTATCAGAGAGGTGGAATACTAAGAGAGTTTGTAATAAAATATGCATATGTTCTTAGAAAAAAATCATAATAACTTTGTTTTTGGGTAGATCCAGTAAAACAGGTGCAATAACAACACTGTCAACATTCAAAAGTTTTTACCCAAAATACCAAGTGTTTTTATCCGTCTGTCCATCCAGTTGTAAATCACAAACCAGATTAATTCTTTACGTCTTTAAAAAACTGGTACAACTCGACATATATGGTCTATAGCTAATGAATATATATATATAAAAAACATTTTCAAGACAGTTTTAGAAAAATATTTGCAATTTAAGGCAAATCCTAATAAATCTCTTTGTTTTCCTATAGCCTCATAATTGTTCTGTGCATTAATCCAGACTTTATCAAATACAAACGCTCCATAGTAGTAAATGTAATAACCAAGAAAACCTGTTAGAAAACCTGATGGAGGAAGCAGGATGTTAGTCAAAGAAGACAAGATGCCTCAGATCATAAACAATATACAAAGAAGCCTTCCAGGGAAGTTTTACTTAGATTTACATCAATAGAAGGGGTTAAAGCCCTGATTGGGTCAGCTGTCCCATTAGGCTGGGATTTCTTCTGCTGCGCATTGGAACAACAGGGGCTTTACTTCCCACTTTTTGTGCTGATTTTTTAAATGATTTGAGTCGAATCGCCACCTTTAATTCCAGTCGCTCGGTGATGATGACTCCTCCAGCAATGCATGCAGGAACTTGGACTAGTCTGTATGACTGGCATTGTGTTGATGCCTTTTGGGCTTTACATTATCTTAGCCAAAATGAACACAGTCTATAGCCTGGCAATGGCAGGAAATCCCCTATCTTACTCAATATCCTTGGTTTCTTTTTAATTACCATAAATGCATTTATAAGACGAAACCAACCCATCCAACTGTCCGTCCGTCCGTCCATCCTGCTTTCCACATATCTGTAACCTTTCTGCTTGTGTAAACCTTTGACACTTTGAGGGTCAACCCACCAGAGAAAGTAAATTGCCTTTAACTACTTTTCAGGACATTTTATACACACGAGCTAGGACACAGGAGAAATAACAGTAGAGGCCGTTTTTGTAAATATTTGCATTTATCCATCATATTTTCATGAAAAATTTAAGAGTGCAGGTCTACTACTCTTAGAACACATCCATGACTATATCAAACTAAGTTGTAAAAGGATTTCCAACTGTTAAAGTGAAGTTGTTGGCCTGAAGATGCTTTACTAATGTTGCTAGCCCAAACCACGAAGAAAGGTAGAGTCTAAAGAGGAGGGATTTGTGGAAAAGTAGCCAATCATAGGCAGTTTACTTTCTCCGAAGGGTAGCATGCTCAAAGTAAGAAAAACGTATACAAGTGTTCAGAAACGGGTTCACACATGAGGAGGAGACTGTGGAACGACATAGAGTGGCTATAGGTGCGTGAAAGACAAACCAATGCAGAGAGGGAGCATGCATGTAATATTAGAGCTTTCTGACACTGAATCTGCATGTGTAAAATGTTCTAAGTTCACATAGACAGTTGTTTATGTGGGAATAAATTAAATAAAAATACTGATATGAGTATTTATTGCATCTGTGCCCTTTTGGCAGAAATCTAACTTTATACTGCAGCTACCTATTCACATTCTAGCAAGACAATAAGCAGCAGCAATAATCCATCCTGGTAAGGGAATAGCATTGCATAGAGATAGCCGAAGTAGTTGTTTCCAGCAGGTCAGCTCTAAGCCGTGTCCCATTTGGTTCGGTTGGCCAACTGCCATCTTCTAGCAAGAGCAACTCTGTGCAATTTCGCCCAGACCACTTAATCAGCTGGCTGCCTCTTTAGCGGTAGGTTTTGCAGCTTCTATTTTACAACTACAAATCTGGTTTTTCTTTTCTGTAAAATATTGAATCTTATCCTTTTCTCCATGAAAAAAAAAATAAATAAATTTATAAACACATAATTAGATACTATTTTGCATTTTAGCACTTTAAGCCAATAATAAATGTTCTTTTCTTGGAGCGAGAGAGGCAGCTGAAGACATAAATGTCAATAATATAAATTACAGACAACAAGAGTTTTAAAAAATATACATCACATTTATTTGTACTGACACCAGGGGTCCGTACAGAGTTCTCTTTGTCTATTCATGAGTTTGGGCACTAAAGGTACCAGTTTCCTACTTCCATACATCCAACAGTGAACAAACTGTATCAACAAGCATTTCTGAGTCGCTACTAAAAAACAGAGTTGGACAGAGCTGACACACATCACTGTTATTTTTTTCTAAAGGTAACACAATGTACAAAAAGCAAATCTGGAAATAGTAATATTCTTGGTTCCATATAAAAGTTTTTTTTTTTCTCCTCAGTGTGTGAATAAGAAAACAATGCACTTATCTCTATGGAGCCTCTGCTGCATTGCTGTTAGGCAGCCAACGTGTAAATTAATGTAGATCAGTAATGAAAGTTAACATGTCAGCTGATTCCTGTATTACTACCACAGCAGCGTTCAAGGAATAGTTTATGCTCCATGGATCCCTGGAGCTGTGGGAGCCTTCAGGAAGTGGTAAGGTACCGGTCACCGAGAAAGACCCAGAAGGTTAAAACAAACCATGTAACAAATCTTTCCACACAAAGTTACATTACAGCACCACCTGACTGTGATGTTCAGAAAATAATGTGCAAATCAAAACATCTGGGGCCTTTGGATGAAACCAAAAAAGTATGACTTCAGTGGTGTTGAATGGAATCTGGCTGACTTGATCCCCGTTGGCAAACCTTGGGCCCTTTTAGGCGTCTAAGGCCAAAGCATTCAGGCAGTCAGAGGGAGTTAGGGAGCAGATGGGTGGCGGCCTCCCTTCAGAAACATGAGGATGTGAGAGCTTCCTCACCAAGAAATCGAAGGCATCAGGAGAACCGAAATCAGCGCTGTCCATGTTATGCTCTGTTTCAGGCAATGCACTGACTGCTGGCTGCTTTTTGCTCGAACGCCTAACAAAGAAGAAGGAGGGACGTCAATACTGATGATCACAAAGAAACATTAATTTTGTAGACCATTGATCTTTGAATAAATTGATCCAGTGGCGTCTGGAGCTGCACAGACATATTCATTTTTCTTTAAGACATAAATTAGAAAAACGACAGTCACATGTCCTATAAAGTTTCTTTGTCACTTAAAGAAACAGGATCCTGTTGCTTAAAATGGCTTTGCATGAGTAGGACGGTTCATGTGGGTAATGCAATTAAAACTGAATTAAACAAAGGTAACTTGAGTCACTAAGATAAACTTGTTAACCGGCTTAAGGGTCGAAAATAAGGAAGGCAAAGCAGAAACAGCTTCTCCAGAGAGAAGTAGCTTTAGTAGGTCGTTCACATGCAGTGAGGAAAATAATTGTTTGAAAACCCTGCTATTTTGCAGGTTCTCCCACTTATAAATCATACACTGTGAGATAAAATCCAAAAATCACAATGTATGATTTTATGATTATTTATTTGTATGTTAGAGCTGAAAATATACACTTATTTGAACACCTGTCTTATCAGCTAGAATTCTGACCCTCAGAGACCTGTTAGTCTGCCTTCATAATGTCCACCTCCACTCCACTTATGCTAAATTAGATGCACCTTTTTGAGGTTGTTAGCTACATTAAGACACCTCTCCACCCCATACAGTCGGTAAGAATCCAACTCCTATGTCTGTATTTGTGTAAACAAGTGTATATTTATAATGAAAAGAAAAAAAAAAAGAATCCAACTACTAACATGACTGAGATGACTGAGATGAAAGAGCTGTCCAAAGACATTAGAAACATAATTGTACACCTTCACATGGCTGGAAAGGGCTATGGGGAAATTGCCAAGCACCTTGGTGACAAAAGGTCCACTGTTAGAGCAATCATTAGAAAACTGAAGAAGCTAAACATGACAGTTAGTCTCCCTCGGACTGGGGCTCCATGCAAGATCTCACCTTGTGGGACCTCAATGATCCTAAGAAAGGTGATAAATCAGCCCAGAACTAAACAGGATGAGCTGGTCAATGACCTGAAAAGAGATGGGAACACCGTTTCCAAGGTTACTGTTGGTAATACACTAAGATTTCATGGTTTGAAATCACGCATGGCCCGGAAGATTCCCCTGCTTAAAGCAGCATATGTCAAGGCCCATCTTAAGTTTGCCAATGACCATTTGAATGATCCAGAGGAGTCATGGGAGAAAGTCATGTGGTCAGATGAGACCAAAATAGAACTTTTTCGTCATAATTCCTCTAACCATCTTTGGAGGAAGAAGAATAGGGAGTACCATCCCAAGAACACCATCCCTACTATGAAGAATGGGGTAGCATCATGTACTTTCTGCACATCGGACAGGGCGACTGCACTGCATTAAGGAGAGAATGACCGGGGCCACTCATTGCAAGATTTTGGGGAACAATCTCCTTCCTTCAGTTAGAGCATTGAAGATGGGTCGAGGCTGGGTCTTCCAACCCCACAATGACCGGAAGCACACAGCCATGATAACCAAGGAGTGGATCTGGAAGAAGCATATAAAGGTTCTGGCGTGGCCTAATCAATCTCCTGACATAAACCCAATAGAGAATCTTTGGAGGGAGCTCAAACTCTGTGTTTCTCAGCCACAGCCCAGAAACCTGACTGATCTAGAGAAGATCTGTGTGGGGGAATGGGCCAAACTCCCTCCTGCAGAGTGTGCAAACCTGGTGAAAAAACTACAGGAAACATTTCACCTCTGTAATTGCAAACAAAAGCTACTGTACCAAATATTAACATTGATTTTCTCAGATGTTCAAATACTTATTTGCACCTATAATGACAATTTCAGACCCCTCCATGATTTCTAAGTGGGTGTACTTGCAGACTAGCAGGATGTTCAGATACTGATTTTCCTCACTGTACGTGTGTGAGTGAGTTGAAAGAGCTCAAACCAGATGGAGCTTACCAGAGGAGGTGACAACTCGAACCTCGGTGCTGAAGGCTCCCTCTCCGCCTTCACTGAGTGCGTACACCTTGATGATGTAAGTGCCCCCCTCTGGCAGTGAGAGCATGGTGGAGGGGTTAATGGTTCTGGTCACCTGGATGTGGCCACGGCCCTCCTGTTTGAGTAACACCTGCAGGGCATACGCACATGGCCTCGTTAGGTAACATGTTAGCTTCAAAATAATATGATTTCTGTTGGGGGGAAAAAAGTGACCAGCTGTGTTTACATTTATGCAAGGAATACAGTACCTGAAAAAAGCAGTTATATCCTTGGAACCTTTTTCTTACTATGTGATACAAAGTTAAGCATAATCATGAAGTGGATAAAACTGTTTCTTTCAAAATAAAAAACCAGAAAAAAGTATTTGTGTTCATCCCTATTTATGAGATCATAAAATAGAATGCAAAGTCAAAAATCTCAATTACATTAGGAAACATGAGTAAAACAAGCAGCAGCATAAAGAAAAAATAAAATATCAGCTAGATAAAAGCTGTGTTTGACAATTCCTATGCACTGAATATCTCAGAGAGCAATATTCAAATCCATCACCAAAAATGCAAATAATATGACACACATGTAAACCTCCAAAGACAACTAAGAACAGAAGATCTTATCTGTAGGAGCTCAAGCATATTGAATCTCAGTTGGAGAATATGTCAAAAGCAGCTATTAGTTGTGCCACCTTCAAATTTTACAGAGAAAAACAAAAAGAAGAAGCCATTGATAAGAGAATGATATTAGATTAGCTGTTTACAGAATAGATTGTCCCCACAATACAACATGGTAGTGGCAGCATCATGCTAGGGAAAATAATCTATTTTCTAAACAGGAAGGTAGTCAGGATTGAAGGGAAGATTAATGACTATAAATTAAATGAAATTCTGGCAGAGAGCTGTTAAAGGCTGAAAAACAGGTGGAAAAAATTCCCCTTTAAGCAGGACAACAGCGCTAAACATTAGGTCAGTGCTACAAGAAAAGTTTTTTAGGTATCAGGATGTTAGAATTTTGTCTGTCATATGAGAAAGAGTTTAAGGGATCTAACTCTGTTAGACACGTTTTAAATGAGGGGTGCATGTTTACTTTGCAGTGAGGATTTCATTTCCTTCCTCGCATATCATTTCATTTTGAGTGAGTCTATGACAAATTCCCCTCTGCTTTTATCTGGTTAATGAGGTAAATTATTCTTCTGCCTTTAACCATAAGACTTACTGAGCTTCTCTATGTTGAGGGAAATCAGGAAATCTGCAACTTGCTTTGAGTCTAAAGATACAGTGCAAGCAGTAGAAAACCTACCATGTATCCGATGACGTCAGACTCATTGTCTTTTGCCTTAACTGGATCCCAGCTTAATGAGATGTTATTGCCTTCTTGTATCCACATGAGGTTGGATGGAGGCTGAGCAGGAGCTGTGATGAAAACACAATTGTTCACATTCTAAAATATGAATACAGAGTTTCACCCAACTAGGTCAATTTCAAGCAAACCATCCAGGTAACATGTGTTCTGTACAGTGAGATTTGCATCAGTGCTGAACTCACGAGATTTCCTGGTCTTGGCTATGACAGCTGCACTAGCAGGACCCTGGCCGATGCTGTTAAAGCCTTTCACTGAAATAAGGTAGGCGCTGTTCCCGTCCAGCCCTGTCAGCAGCATAGATGTTTCATTTTTAACTGTGCGTCGTTTCTCTGCGGACTCCTCCTGCTCTGCTTCCTTCCAGTAGGTGACCTGTAAACAGCAAGTAAAGACTGAATAATTACAGTCATAAGCCCCGGAAAGCACCAAGGAACTGACGCTGCTGCAAAATACCAGTTATAATCTATATACGAGACTGTATGCAGAAAGTAGCACATATATCTATATGTAACCTCATATCCTCTTGGTTTTCCTGGGCCAGGATTGGGCGGTTTCCAGGTCACCCTAATTTCCGAGGAAGAGACACTGTAGGCTTTTACATCAGATGGTGCTTCCCTTGGCTCTGTAGGAAACCAGATGGTTTAAGGCACTTTTAGTTACAATTATAGTAAAAAACAGCACACACACTAATTGGCATAATTGTCCTTGTCCATTTTGTGCTTTTGATGCTTAGCGGGGTTGCAAAACAATTTACAAGAATTTATTTTGGACTCCTCTAATCTGCACGGATCACAAAATACCTACTGTACATAATGAAATTCAAACATGCACTCTCTAATTAATTGATTTATTTCTCAGTAAGTAATAGAAATTCAGCACCATTTCTATTTTCAATCATAATTTGTCTGACAAACACCTAGATACACATTTAACCACTCTCAGCAGATTTGGTACAGATTATCTAAATAGTATTTTAAATCACTAATTAACACATGTCTCTAGTAAATGATGCAATGCATCAAAATATAATGTTTTGACTAAACGGATCATCTCCTTGGCATCAGAGTAAAAAAAAAAAAAAACTTTTTTGATTTCTTTCAGCTCTGGAGAGGATTTATATTAGAGAGCTTTTTACCAAGCTAAAACCCCTATTGTGTATCATACCAAATATGTAACCTAAACTATGGCAGTCAAATAACAGGAAATTGGAAAGGACGTTAAAGAGTAAAGCATCAAAGCTAAAGCCTATCGTAAAGTGGAAGACGATGCTAAGCGGATTTAACATCACTATAAACAAACGGCCAGAACGCTGAGATTTAACATCGGATCGGACACAAAATCAGAGGTTCAGCCTGAGGTAGGCACCTCAGCTTAGGAAAAGGAGCCTTTTATAATTTACTTAATTTAAATACCTTCTCATAAGTGTGAGAAAAAGAGAAAAAAATCACTCAAGAATTTTCAGAGTAAGAAGGCATTGGTGACCCCTACTTTAGAAGACACTGACAAATAAAGAAGTGCTTGCTTCAAAATAAAAAAAAATAAAAAAAATCAGTTAACTAGAAATTTCAGCTGCAAAGACAACCCAATTGCCTCTGTAGAAAAGTTTCATCAGAACACACTAAGATTAAACTGTTTGGCCACAATGAAAGGAGAGATGTTCCAGACGTCGAGGTGAACCTTTAAACCTTGGAGCAGCTATCTATATCTGAAGCAGGGTAGTAGCACAGTTATGCTGTGTGGGCGGTTTACCGCCAGGAGAACAGGGTCATTGCTAAGCATGGGTACAGTGATGAAGAATGGAGATTACATCTTAATTCTCCATTACCTAAAACGAACCTTTAAAATATGTTGCTGAAGCTTAGCTACAAAAATAGGACTATCATCACAAATGGATATAAAAACTGCTTTTTCTTAAAGCCCACAATTATTATACGTCTGGAATGGATTTAACAAAGTTTCCAGTCCTGTTGAAAAAGGATTTAACAAGACTTGAACAATGAACTCCTCTATTTTTAATAAGCAGAGTGGTCATATATCCAATCAAAGCTGTTTCTTGACCTTTACAAAGGTTATAAAGCAAGACATTTTTACAAAACAAAAAATTACAGTGCATCATATTTATATTGTTTATCCCGGTCCACCTTAAAATGATTAAATGCAATTATGTAAAGTTTTTATTACATATCACATGTGGTGGCCAAAGTACTCAACTATAATAATTGAGTAAAATTATCGATACTCATGGTAAACGCGAAAACGGCGAAAACGGCGTTTCGAAATCTTCCCACTCTGAAGGCTGAATAAAAAAAAGATCGTTTTACAGACCCCCGAAATGCCGGCTTCGTGTGGATGAGAGGCTGGTTTGGTGAAAAATTTGTGCGTTTAGGCCAGGGCTCGTCTTCGTGTGGACGGGGCCTAAAAGTACTTAAGTATTTTACAGAACCTTGTAACTTTTAAAAACCAGCTGTGTATTGATGCTGTATTGATGATGTAACGATTTGCTTCAAATTATAGAACTTTAGCATAAAGATGCCACAAAAAATAAGGACACCTATTGTGATTATTTTTATTTAAAACAACACAAAAAAAGATAAGATTAGAGTCTCGGTTCTCGTCACTTTCACTATAGAAAAGAGGTTTAAGGTTGAATGTCCACTTTGAGAACTACTGAACAACTTGGCCATACGGCAACAACTAATGCCTTAATAAAATTTGAAAAAAAAATAATAATAACTACATTTGTAGAATGCCATTAAATCTCTAAAACAGTGCTTTCTTGCTTATTTTAGTTCTTCTCCCTGGAGGTACTGCAGCTACTACCTCCTCAGCATGTCAAAGTTCTGCATGTGCCTGCTAATGAGCTACGATTTGACCCAGGTGTGTTTAAAAGGATAGACAACGTTAACATCCAGGTTGCCTGTTTTAAAGGATGAACTTTGAACTTTCAAGAAAGAAAAACAGCAGCAGTACAAAGCTGAAATAACAACTAGCTTCCTAGAAATGTAGTAGAGCAGAAGGTGTAATATTTGACTTTGAAATGTAGTGGTCCTAGAGATAGAAAAACAAAGATGTTCAAAACTGTACTATATCGAAAGTAAATGAAATCCATGACTGGATATTACCGTACCTCCCTCTGCAGAATGGATGATGACAACTTTGCTGAAGGGCCCATCTCCCTTATTGTTGTATACACCAACTTTCACTTCAAATGGAGTGAGTGGAGGAAAAGTTTCGTCCCTGTATTTGTACATCGTAGCATCTGCAGAGGTCACCATCTTCTCCTTCCAGCCTCTAGTCCCGTTGGCACGGAATGCAACAATATATCCAAAGCCCTCGCCATTTTGGAACTCCTCAGACACAGGCTGAAAGTGCAAAAAAAAAAGAGATCAAGTTTCTTTTTTAACTAGTTTAGGAGTAAACCTGTTTTCCCAGTGCTAAAGCTTGGAGATAGACAGTGAATCATTCCCACACTTTTCCACTAGACAGCTATTGCAGAGCAAGCAAGCGCCTTATTGAACACAAACAACAACAAAAGGGCTATTTTTTCAGTTTGGTGATAACCCCAAAGCCAGCTTTCACTTTTCTAACCATTTACTGTAACTGCCTGCCACTGTTAATAAAGATGCAGTCAGCCTTGAGTAATGGAAACAAATCATATTTGGCTCAGCTGTACCCATTATGTAGCTATTTATCCTTCCATGTCTGACAGGAGGATTTTTTGTGACGCAGGTTTTGTGTGCTGGGTTCGGTGATTATCCACAGTTTTTCCTGAAGTAGTGAAACCGCGTGCTGTCTTCCACAGCTGCTCTGAGCGTAATCAAATCAAATGCCAATTTATTAAGTGAGCTAGGATCTAATTAAAATATGAGCTGCAGGGATTAAATCTTTGGCTACACGTAATAAATTACAAACACCTGTACACCTGTTTTTGGCAACAGCTTCACAGCTAACTCTGTAATGTGTTGATTTGCATAAGGTACAGAGTTAGACTGTCCCCCGAAGGCATCAACCACATTAAGCATTGAATCTACAGAGGGAATAGCAGGTGGATGGTGATCTAGTTTCAACCCATACAACAAAGAGCAGTCACCATGACTAGCTAATTAGGAGTACGGAGAGAGGAAATAAATTAGCTTTCAAAAGTATTATCAGATCTGGCATTGCTTTTAACGAGACTAGGAGGAAGATGAGCTTTTTGAAATCAGCATGAAAAAAAATGAACTAGCTGTGTTTAGAAACACTTCTGGGTTTTGGGGGATAGATATTCAGAGATAAGTGCAGAAACTGTGTGGGATAGCTGCAAGGTAAGTCCTCTGGATGAAATCATTGGACCTGCTGGGCTCATCGATGGTAACTACGGGGGCATCACTAATAGTCCTCCCTATGGCTCCTTGAGAAAAAGCAGTCAAACAGTCTAATGAGATGGCTCAATGAAGCTGGGGAGACTGTTTAGTCATTCATCCTGCTTAATAACCTTGCCCACCATGGCCGTCGAGGCTCTGACAACTCTCCACAGATGACTGCAAAGGCAGGACTGCCTTGTGCTCACATGCCTCGACTGCCAAAAAGGGCGAACATTTCTGCACTGTCTGCTTTCATATCCATCTTCATTGATCACTGACAGAGTCCTGGTTTATTCCAGAAAGCGTTTAGCCTCAAACTAGAATAACCAGGACAAAGGAAAACGATTAAATTGCTGCTAACCAACACAAGACAACTGCAACTAAGTGCCAGGATTCTTTTTAATCAAGTTCTTGGACACAAACAGGACTGCAGATAAAATCCTATTAGAAGAAAAAAAAAAAAAAAACACCTTTGGATTTACAGAGCGTGGGAGGAGCTTTTATGAGGACAAAAAGGGAGTATGCTGTGTGCAGCTCCAGAGGATTTATACCAGGGTTTATGGATATATAAATGTTTTGCAATATTACAGCCACTAACATCAATATTTTTATGAGATTGTATCTGATAGACCTATAGAACGTAGCATATAACTCTAAGAAGGAAGGAGAGTTATTTTTATTTCCGATTTTTTTTCTTTATCCAATTTTCGTACAGATATAAACTGATTATTTATTTTGCTCACCTGACAACTTTCGAGAAGCACCTTTTTCGTCAATTCTAAGCCTGTTGAAATAAATCTCTACCAGACTGTGCCGAGCACAACTGTATATGTGTATATATATATATATATATATATATATATATATATATATATATATATATATATATATATATATAT